GTTTTTCAAAAATCTCAAACCAAAACCGAACCAATCGATTCGGTTAACCGTATTTTACGGTTTGGTTCAGTTTTTCGGTTTTTCATGGCTGCRATGTTGTGCGGGTAGACGTAGGCAGAGTTTGTGTGGACAGAAGATCCGAACTCGAAATATTGGAGAGATCGTTACTGGAAGGGATTGTGCGAACGGTGTTGGCTTCGTAGGAGACAATTTGGTTAAAGGTTCTCTAAAATCGTGTTCTATAAAGAAATGAATATGTTTATATGTCTAAGGTCAAGAGGCAATACCCCACCACCTGTCGAGGTTGTTTTCCGTCTACAGAGTTGCAGCCATAGTACAGTGTTAAAAAGAAAAAGAAATGGTTTCCAAGCTCTTTTTTCTGTCCTTTTTGACAGATGGGTATTGCTTTATGATGCGTTAAATGTTACGTAATGACGTTAGAGCCAAGCGTGGAGATTTTCTTCTGTTTTGTTTTTTCCTTTGACGGGTTTGGGAAGTCTAAGCTCTCTGTTCTATATGGGGTTGAGTTTTAGAATCTTGGAAGTGGTGGTGGGTTTAGAACAGCAGAAGGTTATTTATTTTGTTCAGAACTTCTGAGTTTTCACTCATTGTCTCATTTTTTTCAGTTTTGGTCCGGGTTTTTGAGCGGGGAAATTGGAGGACTTGGCCTAAAGTGGGTGTTTGATCACTGGCGTTTTTTCTCAGGGGTGTCGTTTCAAACTGGGATTGGTGGTTTTTGTGGTGGGTCTTCATTCCCCTCTTGTAATGGTTTTGGGGCGAAGGTTTCGGGGGTTGTTCAAATTTGAATTGTTGAAGGTGCTAATTTGATGACTTTTCGATGCCCTTGAAGTTAGTTTTCGGTCTGTTGGGACATTTTGTGGGTTTGTACTGAATCTCCTTGGAGATTAAGGTGGTTTTGGCCTGAGATTAGTGGTTTTTACAAGTAGATTTTCAGAATTCGGCAGTGTTTGTGGTGAGAACGCAAGTATCTGTTTTCCCTTCTAAAGAAGAAGTGAGATTTTTGGTCGTTTTCCCAAATTTGAGAGACTGATTTCGGGATTTTGGAACTTTCGGTGATTTTAGCTGATGTGTTTATAAGTGGCTTTGTCTCTTTTGATGTCTTTTTGTTCTTCTGTAATTTCGTTGGGGCAGTTCAGGGTGGTTGAGTTTTTCTGACTAAAAATCCTGAAATGTACTTGGGTTGGTTGTCAGCGTACAGGGAATGATTAAGCGACGGGGTCTTAGGATGGGTTTAAGCTTTTCTGGAGTGATTCTGAGCAAGTCTTCCTGCACTCTGTTCTGAACCAAGGATAGCTCAGGTTCTTTACTCTCTGGATGCGGTTTTCTGCTTCAGCATTCTAAAATTGGAGGGTTTATTTAAAGGTATTTAAGAGTTGCAGAAGTTTTTGTTACACTTGAAACAACCTCTGTTCGAAGCCCATCTTTTACTTTATATTTCTTCCCATTTTCCTTTTCCTGAAATGGCCTGTATGAAGCTGGGTTCCAAAACCGATGCATTCCAACGGCAAGGGCAAGCCTGGTATGTTCCCTTTGCATTCCAGTCTTTTATGAACTCTGTCTTGTGTATGATCTTAGGAGGTTGTTGTTTGTGCATTCAGCTGAGGTGGGCATGCAGATGGGTTTGAAGTGGGCAGAATGAGATTAAAAGAAATATTTGGATTAGCTGTAGCTTGGATCTTGGTTTTGAGTTTGACTTGAGTAACTTCATATATTGTTGAACTAAAACTTGGTTTTTTGTTTCCGTTTTAGATTTATGTTGCCTTTAGGGAATGCCAAAAAATAATAAAATAAAAATAAGAATCTGCTTGAGGGAACCGTTCTCTGTAGTCTGTAGTGCAGACATTGTTAACGAGTTCTGTTTTAACAACATTTATTTAGGTGTATTGCCTTTACTACCTACCTACCTACATCCCTGGTGGTTGAAGATATGCAGCCTGAATGTGGTGAGCCTCTGGTGGTGCACCAAACCTTATCTTTGTGTAGGCTTATTGCAAATTGAATAAAAAACTTTCCTAAGGTGAATGATGTTGTGGTTCTTGGTAACAATCTTATTGTAATTAGAGAGATGATGTTTCTCTATGTCATCTGGTACAAATTCTTTCTGGAGTGTATTTTCAATTGATTATCCTTTTTGATCCAACCTCTGATGGATGCGTCTTGAATCCTTGCAATGCAATTAGAATCTAAATCATCACCACCATATAAGCCTAGTCCCAACTATATGTGGTTGGCTACATTCATCCTGTTTCACCATTCAATTCTGTTTAGTGCAGTAAGAATCTTAATCATTGGTCATAAGTGTACAGTGACTACGGTCAGCTTTTGGATACATATTGGATAATTAAGTTGGTCAAAATAGTTTGCTGTCAATGTTGCCAACCTTCAATCACTACAATATACCTCTTTTAATGGATTGCATCACTTCAAATTATAACATTGTTAGGGTCAACTTAGCATCCTGCGATTCTTTATTTTAATTGGATGTTTCATGATGATGATGATGATGATATTAATCTATTGATGAAAAAATGCAGAATTTGAACTGGCACACAAATGACAAGAAATTCACATACAGTGTCACCATGAATAAAGTGATAGATGTGAAGACTTGGGTATTCTAGTGGATTCACACTTTATTTTTCTTTTTTATTTTTTTTGTTAAAATAGTTTAATCCTGCATACAGACATGGTAATGGTCTAGCTGGCATCCTAGCAGATTTCCTAACTGCTGTATCCTATATCTAGGAAGAGAGCGTGCATGGGTATGGGTTTCTCCAACCAGAGTTTTGAATTTTGGCTGAAACATTTCAATTTTGGCGGTAATTGAAGTGAAGCAATAGGTCAAACTTTATATTGTTTTGGTCTATGCCAATTTAGAATACTAACTGCCATATGACATAACCTAAGATAATATGTTACTACAATCATAAGTTACAATTGCTCCCTATACATCAAACAATCAATAAATAAAATGAGAAGAATGAACAAAACCGATGTACTATTGAAACGATAGGGAGGCCCTATCTTAAAAACTAAGCACAAATATTTATTTCAATAATTATTTATTACCTTAAATTTAAAATGCTAACACTATGCTGCACCTAATGTCTTATCATTCCATCTGATTATTCTAAAACTTTTGCAATTTTTAGGATTTTTTTTTTTTGATTGGAAACATTAACTTCATTAAGGAACTTTTCAAGTACAGAAGTCAACCCCTAGTAGAGAAAGTTGAAACAACAAACAACATACATTACAGCACTGCTCAGTACAAACTCTCCCTCAAGTCCCTTCTTTTGCTAAGGTATCACCTAAACCAATTTTTAGGAATGTTATTGTAATTAGAAATATATATAAAATAGAATATACTTAAATTCTTCAATCATATCATAATGTTCTATATAGTGTATTTATGAATGCATATTTGTGCATGTGTTGATGGTTGGCTTTGAAGCATTTCCTTCCTATACAGTATGCACGCCTCTTGTAATGAATGGACCTAATTGCTAAGGTTGTGCTGGATATAGTTTGTCTGTAGAATCGACCTGTTGTTCCTAAAGGTGGCAATGCCAAATGATGCTTCTAGTTTATCATGTGTATATGCAGTGTGTTTCCTTTGTGTTTTGCATCTTCAACACTATTACAACATTATCTATTTAAGAGATCTCATGTCATAAATTGACACTATAAGTTGACTTTTCTTGGTGAAATAACTCTAGGTTCTGTACGACTGGACTTCCCAGTGATGTTGTTGTTGAAGTTGAAGATATGTCTTTCCTTCTCCACAAGGTAATTTAACCATCAAATATAAAATTTCCATATTGTTAGTACATATAATATTCATTGCTGTTTTGCTTAGCTTATTCATTTATTGATTAACGTACTACACTTGATACATGTGCTGCAGCACAACAAACCTCATGATTTGTTTTTGATCATTAACACTGATCAAATAGACTTTTTGATATGAAAAGAGGAATAAACCTGCTGATAAGGGAACAATTGAACTATAGAATACATCAATTGCTGACAAAATGGAGAATTCAACAAGCATAAAAAAGAAATACACTGACCAGCCCTTTTGGTATGTCCTTGGACCTTATGCTCAGTGCTTAAAGATCTAGTTCTGCTTATCAACTTTCTTTCCTTGCAAGACCATTAGCCAGATTGTAGATCTGGGTATTCAGCTGAATGAGCTCTTCGAAAAATTAGCTAATGTTTAGCTTCCATTTTCATTCATTCAATAAACAACATTGGAAATCACCTTAACTACAATAATATTCCAGCTAAATGAGAAGGCTAACTTGAATCTATGTATTTAAGGAAGCATTTCAGCTTTCAGTGAAGCTCCTCCTTCTGTGGGGCCCCGGGAGCTCATAGCAAAATAATCTTCAAACACCCCATTGATGCCTGGTGCCCATGGTTTCCCGAGGGCCAAGGTACAGCCACCAAAATTGAATTTGATCTTCCATTTTCTTGGGACAGCCCAAATGCAACACATCATTGTTTGTAATGCACTGTACCAGAAACCACATTGTAGATGCCCAGAAATGAAAACGGATGGTGGTAATGCAGTGCCATGTCCATTGTTAATTTATGGGAGTAGAAAATGTGTAGTAATACTGTCACCCTTTAGGCAGTGCTCGGAATAAACTATTTTATGTGTAGTAATACTAGTCACTGTACCAAACTAACAAGTACTGAATCCCTGGATAGATGCAGTGGCCCCTCAACTTCCCCCCACCCCCACAAAAAAGCTAAATGAAAAAGAGAAGAAGAGAAGACAAGGGTGAAGAAATAAAGGAGGTAAAACAGAATGAAAAAGTGAATGTGAAACTTATTTTCTTTCAAATTTTATGGTTTTCTTCAAGCTTCTAAATAAGTTCAATTGGTTGTGACAATTGTGGTTCAAGTTGACAAGGCAACTTGACTAGTTACCTAATTTGTTCTTAACACCTGTAATTTTTCCCCTTTTTTGCAGTTCCCATTACTTTCTCGGAGTGGGGTTTTGGAAAGGTTGATTGCAGAAAAGTCAGATGAAGGAGAAGAGGGTTGTATCATAAACCTCCCTGAAATTCCTAGTGGGGCCAAAACATTTGAACTTGTTGCTAAGTTCTGTTATGGGGTGAAGCTTGAACTTACTGCCTCAAATGTTGTGTACCTCCGGTGTGCTGCTGAACATCTTGAGATGACTGAGGAATATGGAGAGGGAAATCTTATTGCACAGACAGAGGTCTTCCTCAATCAAGTTGTCCTTCATAACTGGAAAGACTCTGTGAAGGCTCTCAAAACTTGCGAGGATGTCCTACCCCAAGCCGAAGATCTCCACATTGTTAAGAGGTGCATTGAGTCATTGGCTGTGAAGGCATGCATTGACCCTAGTCTGTTTGGTTGGCCCATGATGGAGCATGGTGGGCCCATGCAGAGCCCTGGTGGGAGTGTCTTATGGAATGGGATAAGCACAGGAGCCAGGCCAAGAAAATCAAGTTTAGACTGGTGGTATGAGGATGTATCGACTTTAAGTCTACCTCTCTATAAAAGGCTTATCTCAGCCATGGAATCTCGAGGCATCAGACAGGAGACTATTGCTGGGGCCCTGACATTCTATGCAAAAAGGTTACTTCCAGGGCTGAACAGGCGTCAAGGTGTCAGTGAGTCCAGTGCATGTCTTGCACCTATTCCTTTGGGGTCCCCTCCATCTGAAGAGGACCAAAAGGTTCTACTTGAAGAGATTGATAGATTACTGCCAATGAAAAATGGGCTAACATCAACAAAGTTCCTATTTGGCTTGCTTCGTACTGCTATGATCCTTCGTGCAAGCCCATCTTGCATATCCAACTTGGAGAAGAGGATTGGGATGCAGTTGGATCAAGCTACCTTAGAAGACCTCTTGATGCCCAACTTCTCTTATTCCATGGAAACACTCTACAATGTTGAGTGTGTACAGCGTATTCTTGAGCACTTCTTGGCCATGGATCAGGCAGCAGATGGGGCCTCCCCTTGTTCAGATGATGAGGGCCAGTTGATGGGTTCACCTTCTTTGACACCAATAACCATGGTGGCCAGGCTGATTGATGGATACCTTGCAGAGGTTGCCCCTGATATTAATTTAAAGGCCTCCAAATTTCAGTCACTGGCTGCAGCAGTTCCAGAGTATGCAAGGCCATTAGATGATGGCCTTTATCGTGCAATTGACATATATCTCAAGGTACTGTCTAGAGATTTGTGCCCTGTCACCTAGAATGCCTCATATTGGGGTAGGTTTGTTATGTGGAGTCTGTTACCATCCTGACTTTGGTTTAGTGGATGGATGGTAACAAGGACCATTATAATACTGCTGTGCAGATTTTGGTTCTGCCAGACCATACAAAGGGGAGGTCTAAAATTGATATAATTTCTACCTTTTGAGGTGGTTATTTTGGATACTGAGTAACTTCTTAGTTCTGTCCTTGCCAGAGTTCCTGTCTCTACCATTATGAGCCAAAGGAAAGACATTTGGTGATGTGTTTTTTTTTTCCTTGTAGACTGGTAATAGAACTGCAATGTTAGTTGCAGTACCAGCTACCACATTATTTACTATGATAGTGTTCGGGACTGAAACAATGGCATCTACCATCTGTTATAGAATGTACGATGAATTTTCAAGGACATCATGAGTTCATGACTAGATTTAACCGTGAAATCATGTCAACCCAGAATTTAAATTTACTACTTAAAATAAGATTAATCCCGGAATGAGTTATGTTTCCTTTTTTTTCTTTTATTATTACAGGCACACCCATGGCTCACAGATTCCGAAAGGGAACAGCTGTGCAGGTTGATGGATTGCCAGAAGCTCTCCTTAGAAGCTTGCACCCATGCTGCGCAGAATGAGAGGCTACCCCTCAGAGTTGTAGTTCAAGTCCTCTTCTTTGAGCAACTCCAGCTCAGGACTTCGATTGCAGGTTGTTTCCTCGTCTCTGACAACCTTGATGGATCAAGACAGTTGCGGAGTGGATTAACAGGGTCAAATGAAGGAGGTTGGGCAACGGCCGTGAGGGAGAACCAGGTGTTGAAGGTGGGAATGGATAACATGAGGACGAGAGTATCTGAGCTTGAGAAAGAGTGTTCAAGCATGAAGCAGGAGATTGAGAAGCTTGGCCGGGTGAAGACTTCTAGCACGTGGGGCAATGTGTCAAAGAAATTTGGGTTCAAGATCAAATCACAAATGTGCAGCGCTCAAGAGGGTTCTGTGAGTAACCAGAGTAAAGGTGGAAATGCAAAGGTTGAGAAGGTGAAGGACAAGCATGCGAAACATAATAAAATGTTATCTGTTGACGAGTAGTCTCTTCACTCTTGTCTTTTTTTTTTTTACTATTTTGCTGCTTTCTTTGTTTGTTAGATTCATCCCGTTCATTTCATTGGTTGTTTGTACGATTTCTATTAATCCAAAATCCAAACTGTGAATTTCCATCCCTGTCCGCAGGACATTCTTGTATGGTGGTGCTTATTTTCATTGTGTGCATAATTTTTTTTTTTCTTTTTCTTTATTGAATATCTTAACCATGCAAAGGACGCTCAGATGCCCCTCTTCACTCTTCAGAGAGAGAGGTCACAGGTGGGGAAATCTTTCACAGTACGTAGCACTGGTGGGGTTAGGGATAATATTTGAGGGGAGCAAATCATAAATTTTCCTTTTAGATTAGTATAATAAATGTATATAAATTGTAAATGTTAGATTTTCAGTTATAAACTTTATATAATTGTATACAATATCTATGTTTATACACAGCAATAATAATAATAATAATAATAATAATAATAATAATAATAATAATTTTTAATCGTATTTGTTATATATATATATGCCTAACTAATAAGAGTGAATGCCCATACAAGTCATTAGGCATACAACTAAGCCATGATTATAGCCAGAATGCAATCATGTCATTTTTCCATGACTTGAAAAAAGATATTTGAGTAAATTACAAAGACCTTCATAGAGCAAGGATTAGCTGAACGCGTTGGCTGGCTGATTGTAACTAATGATAATGCTCCACATCAGTAATAAATACATGAGATCCACACCTTTTATAATGAGGTTATTTATTATTGGCGTGGAACATTATTATTGGTTTTACAGTCCGTTGAACAACCACCATGTTCAGTTAATTTGAATTACTTTGTACCATCGGACAATTATCCTCCTAAACTTTCATTTATGACAAAGATCCCCTTGATCTTTCACTTTGAAACATATACTCTCCTTCACTAGAGTTCTACCCGTTAACCTCAAAAAAAGATTCTCATTCATGTGTTAATTTTATCTTTTTTAAATCCCTATACAATAGTATGGTCTTATGAAGGGAAAAGGTGAAAAGGATTGTATCATCTAGTTGAGAGTACATGGGTTCACAAGACTTCAATGAGTTATTAGAAATGAGATTCACAAGATAGTGTGGTCACATGGAAGTCAAGGTAGAGACAAATGCTACATGTTTCCAAAGTACAAGTGATGGTAATTATTACCAAAAAAGATTAAAGTCCCTATTTGGAGTTAATTAGGACTATTAATTTGGATACAATAATATTTTTATACTTTTAAAAAAGTTTCCTTATTTTAAGTAAATCTATCTTTTAAAAATGCTTTTAAATTAAAAATTTTAGGGATTTGGGTCCTTGATGGGGAACCCGTTCCTATTGGGGATTAAGGATGGTGGGTCATTTTTATCCCTAGTGGGGATCAAGGTCCTAAGAAGTGTCATAGTTGGGGTACAGAATTTTTTTTCATCGATATGCATAAATAACTTTATTTATTTTGTTTGTGTATCCATGTGGTTATGTATGTAGGGCTGCAAATAAGTCGGATCACATCCTATTCGAATTCGGATCTGATCCAATAAGAGTCGGATTCGGATACCTCCTTTGGTCCTAACAAATCGGATCGAGTCTTAAAAGCCAATCCATTTAGTTAACAAATTGAACTCAGATATACCTCGATCTGATTCACCACGACCCAGTCCAATTCATCAATTAAGAAATATTATATATTATTTATATATTATATATTACATATTACAATATATTATAATATTATATAAATAATATAATATATTATTTATATTATATCATAAATCTTTAATCACCCACAACCTCTCATTCACCCCACACAACCCACATTTACAAATTTGAACATGTAAACACAGAATAGATATGGCCCTACATGGACTGCATGATAGAATAATTTTATGCCCAACTTAAATGATTAGAATAAGGTGTAGATAACAGACATGATGAAAATGTTAGATAGTATATGCCCTTAGTTTCAATCAGATTGATGTATAAATACATTTATTGTAAATGTATAAAAATACATTATTGTTTCATGCTGATATAGGTATGTTTCTGTGAAATTACCCCTTAAATTGGACACTTATGAGACTTGTGTTAGTTTAGAATGTTCTTAGCCGTTGGATAGATTTGAGGAATTTATCATGCCAATGCTGACACTGATGTGCTACCAAAGAAGTTGGGGCAACTTGTCTTAGCTACTAGGGTTATACCCAAAGCACATGTAGTGTATGTTTGGTTGAAACACTGAAATCGGACCATTTTTCAGTTATGCTCTAGACCTTAGAAATTGATGAAAAAAACTGAAAGTTACACATAACCCCTAGACTTGATTATGGTACTGCACTAGGAGTCGAATTGGGTTGTTTTTGATATACCAATCAGTGAGATCCATTGTGGGTCAAAACCTGGATATGTTGGGGCAATTTGAAAATTCACTTAAGTGGGTGATCATAATGATAGGATTGGCCATTTTGTCAGACAAAGTGAATGATAGGATTTACACTCTCTCTGATGGAAACCTAAACTGACGATAGTGGATTTCAACTGTGTTTAAGATTTGGTTTTGCAATATAATATATATATATATCTTACTTAAGTCCATTATCATTGGGTCTTTATAGTATGGCTGAATTCAATGATCTTTTAAGTGTAAATGTTGGAACTATTTTAAGCCCATAGTGATATGTTTAGGGGTTCACTGCATTTAGTAGTGAATTCGGCCAGGCCTTTTCACAGAGGTTGGGTTGAACCTATGTGGACTTATGTGAGGTCATTATGGGGTCACACACCATACAAATTAGGCCTAAGTTGGCCATGCAACACTCTTGGGTCGTGAGCTTTATAGTTGATGGGCCTATGACCCATAATTAATATGATTAATTAACTTATCACATGATAGTTTAAGTTGTCATGTGACATGGGGCTGGGTTTGGAAATGGGTATGGAGCACCTATCATCTTAAGAGGATAAGGCTTATCTCTTAATAGAGTCCAGATCCAAATTAGATTTGGATAATCTCTTAATTTGATTAGGAGAAATGTTCCATAAAGAAATAAAAGAAGAAGAGGGTGAACTGGACTAGAAGACCTCTCAATTCTGCCCTCTCTCTTCTTCGTTTGTCTTCCAAGAAACCCTAGTTCGACTACAACTATTTTTGGACTGATGGAGATCGGTTTTCTTCTTATTTTTGCAAGAAAAATTCAGAGGAGTTTCGTGCTCACCTCCTCAGTTCAACCCAAGCAGTTGGATTGTAGTTTTGCTGAAAACTGCATTGTTGAACCGGCTTCAGGAGTACACTATGCCATCTTCGGTGGTGGTTGATTTTATGACTGATTTGGGCATGAACTTCCACCTTGGGATCTGCATTTGTGGTATCCGTATCAAGTATACATCTCCCTCTTGATTTGATTTCAAATATGGTCCGATTCGGTGCAAGACCGATCCTAAAAAATACAGTTTTTCCAAATGCAGGGAATTCAATTCCTGAAAGAATTAGAAAATTTTTGAAATTTTACCCTTAGAGTTCTGGGCGAAATAATAATAATAGTAATAGTAATACAATAAAGGGTAAAAGACTTAAATATACCCTAAATTTTCATAAATTGACTTAAACATGCCCTAAGTTTTTCAAAAAGACACAAATATACCTTGTGAGCTAACCCTATAGGACTTAAACATACCCTCCATCAATGAAAAAGGCCATTTAAAATTTTAAAAATCCTATTTACCCTTTTGGGAAGAGAAGAGAAAAAAATGACAATTAACTACGGAACCGGTTCATCTAATAATGAAGATGTAACATTTTCACTTAAATAAATTGATCGTCAATAGATGGTGTTTCACAACCACATCTCACATGAAATGGCACTACATTTAGGGGAAAACACAACGATTTTAAGGAGTATAATAGTAGTATAGATAGGATAGACTTCGTTAGATTAATGATGGAGACAAGTGGAAAACCACAACAACACCAGTTAATGGAGGAGGTGGAGGTGGACCGACATGGCTAAAAAATGCAATTCTTCAACAGTAGAACCAGTATGTTGATGGCAATTTCCTACACTTGACCGACGGCTGATTCTTCAACGGAACGCTAGCGATGTGGGTGGGTGATGATATTTGTGTGTGGAGTGACTCGATGACTGCCGCTGCTATGTCTCTGTCTCACACAACTTGTCCGATTTGAGCCCTAATAATGATAATAGGACAGTAGTGGTAACAACCTAAATTAGGGGAATAATAGCAGTGGCAGAAAGTGAAGCTGGAGGTGGAGGAGATGGACTTGGTTCTTGGTAGAATGCAAAGTACAAAACCGATATATTGGCTCATCCTCTTTACGAGTAGTTTCTGAACCTGTGCATTGCAACTTCCGTTTATCAGTTGCCAAGGATTGATATGCACAGCTTGCATAGTTGTAGCATGTCATCGCCAAGTACTCAATACCTGATCATGGTATAATCAGCATCTCATTAACATTGATATGAGAAGAGGTATTCTTTTGGAAAAGAGAAATTTCTCATCACGAGTGTGGACCAATTTCAAATGAAGACACTAATATGATGAAGATCATAAATATATCAGATTCAGATGTAAAAAAGAGGATACACAGCACCCCCTTGTTTTGTTAAATATATACAAATAATTGTAAAAGGAATCACATATCATCCACATGAATTTTTAAAATGCAGGATATATTTTGAAAATTTAAAAGAAAATGAGGGTTAAAAAAGTCACAGTCATTTTATAAAACCCAGGGTATGTTTAAGTCAATTTATAAAAACTCAAAGTATGTTTAAGTAATAATAATTGAGTTTCTAGGGAAGAAGAAGGAGCTTATCGTTGATTGCCAATTGATTAGTTGATACCAAACGTCCATTATTGTTGATCAATGATGTTCTAGTAATGGGATTCCTAGGGTTCAGATGAGAGAGGGTGGGAGCAATGTTTTCGAACAGTTGTTGACCCGGATGGTCGGACTGTACAGCCTAGAAACCGTCTAGGCAACCTGTTCCATTTCACCTTTAACCCATTCTTGGGTCAAAAACCATTGACTTGGTCAGAGAACCATTGACCCATTCAACTCGAACATTTGAGATTCAGAGAGATCTAAATGGTTGTTGTGTTTTCAATCGAACGGAACAAAAAATTGAACTAGTGGTTTTATCTAATTAATTACATTAAATATATAATATTCTATTGAATACTTTATACTTATTGTTTAATAATTATTATCTCTCCTAATGGCCAATTCGGCAATTTCCCAATAATGGGGTTTGGGCCCATTCTAACTTTTAATTAATAATAGTTGATGGACGGTGATTTGGCCCGACCTCGCAGTACAGGTACACGTGGGTGTGACCTTGCTCAAACAATGACTCAACATGACAGCGCAACCAGTGTGAACGCAACTCGGGGGGGAAGTTCCACCGAGTACAGCTCAGCAACTCGATGGGTAAACTACTCGCCGGGAACCGCCTTACCCGCACCTCCTCCCCGGGGTTAAGGCACTTCGGGACGTCCTGACCTCTCTTAAGGCCCGAGCTCCCCCCAATGGACCTCGGGCCACTCCCAGGCAAGAACGCACTGATCCATCTCTGGACACCCCGAGGCATGGACACCTCGGGTTAGCCAGCTCGGCATAACTTGCTACAGGCAGCTCGTCACTCAAGAGACAACCCAGCTCAGGGTGATTCGCGGAAGGGCAGTTCGGTATACCACAGGAAAGCTTCCTGCTCGACCGCTGTACCCGACAAATCTGTGGATAGCAACATGTCCCTCGTCAGATAGCGCCGCGCCTGTCACCTTCAGAAAGGTGTCTTGCGCTTGACAGACACGTACCCTGCAACGACGGCCCCGCGTGTGCCACCTCAGCCTTGCCTGTAACGGCTGTGGCAGGCTGACAGTGGCGGTTATACCTGCTCTGTCAGAAGTCAGAGGGCCTGAAGCAATGGAATTCAATTATAAGGGGATCATTCTCAAGGAACAAAGTATCTTCAAATCATTTGTGCAACCTTCACTCTTAGCCTTCCGTTTTCCTTCTCTTCATGCACACAGTACTGACTTAATCATCGGAGCGTTCCCGCCGGGAAACCCCCCAGGAGTTCTTCCTCTATCCTCTCGTCTCAAGTACCTCTCAGGAGCCACGCAAGTACCAGTTAGGAGTGATCGGATCGCGCAACATCAATAGTTAATTAAATTATCTAAAAACTTTTAACAACTAAGGTATTAAAACCTTGACTAATTATTGTTCATTAGTTGTTTGTGAATAATGGGTGTAGTTGTTTTAATAAATAATCACTAAAGTGTTCATTAAATGAGTGTAATTGTATTAATTATGTATTAAAACCTAGACTAATTATTAAAATCTAGACTAAAGACTAATAATTAATTGTTTATGAATTATTAATTCGAACAAAAAACTAAACCAAATTGAAGTAAATTTGATTAGGATCGGTTTAGTTCTAAATTCTAGTTCATTTTGGTTCAGTTGGGAAAGATGTCAAATCGAATAATCAGTTAGGTGTTAGGACTTAACAAAATCGAACCGAACCAACCGATTACACACCCCTATTGCTATGAAATTAGGATTAACTAGACATAATGGCCATTCAAAGGACTGTAGAACCAATGATAACGCTGCACACAATTCATAAAATACACGAGTCCAAAATGCTGTGATCCCATATAAAAATTGGGTAAATTTTTTAAACTACTCTTATAATTTATAAATTTAGTAAATTGATTAAGTGTATCCCTAATGTTTGAAAATTGACTAATGGTACTCGTATTGTTTCTAACAACTAAAAGAGAAATTTACTTTTTTATCCCTTATTTTAATGCATATGTGCGGGTTGAACAAAATGCCCAAAAGTAGAGACCGAGCACCATTATCGTCATAGGCGACGGTGGCTACTGCAACTTCCGAACGGTAGAGCTTTGGTGATAAGTATTAATTTTTTTATACATTTTTTTTTTTATTTATTTAAGGTCACGGTGGCCTTAGCCAAGAAGAGATTATCATCCAACAACCGTCGAAGTCAGATCCGTTCATGGTGATCTTAGAGATCATCAGCCAACCACCGTCAAAGCCAAATTCGGTGACTTCTCCTTATCAAAGTAACAAAAAACGATTTCTCCACGAATCCTTCCAGCCTCAATCGTCGAAGCAAAATCCGCCATTAGATCAGGCTCCTGTTTCTTCGCCCACATCCAATCAGGCTCCCGTTTCTTCACCCACATCAAATCAAGCTCTAGATTTTAGGTGGTGGTGGTCGTGATGATGGTTCCGGTCGAGGCTCCCTCCATGCGTAGGCGGAGCCTTGTCTTGCTTGATGTTTTTCCACTTTTATTCATCGAAGAGAGTTAAATGACCTCATGCCGGGCAGAAGGCAATCATCATCCGATTGCCATGGTCACTAATACTTTTGATAGAATCGTCTCTCCCAAATGAGGGCATTTTTGAATATAAAGGATAAGTTGGAAAATTTTCAAACATTTAAGGTACATTTCGTCAATTTGCTAATTAGTTTAAGAAATTTACTATAAAAAATTTCGGTAAAATACACTGCACTCCATGACAGAAATCTGAAATTACAGTCCCTCGTAATCTGTTTCTATAAAACGCATCCTATCCGTAAATTTGACATTTTAAAGATGGTCTAAACGGTCATTTTCATTACGTGGTGGTGTATTGGTTCACACTTCACAGTCTGTTTAGCGAAAGCGTTCAGCTAATCCCATCTCGTCGCGCGATGCAAGAAGCAAGCTGACCTTTTTTTATTCAATGAAATTCGTGGGCTAAAATGCGCCATATTTATAGGCATTGGATGCTTCGGAGTCGTTGTTGGAATTCGAGCAAAGCCATACAGTGAGTGGGGTGAGGAGCAAATCCAAATTCGAGGGATGATGGATTTAGGCTTCTGCTGCTGTTCATGCCAGAAACGCACTTGAGTGTCTGTTGATGCTTTTTCCCCCTTCTGGGTGAGATCTCTCTCTTGGCGTTTTGCAAACCCTAGTTTCTCTTCTGGGCAGAGAGATGTTCAATCGTCTTTGACTGTTCCCGTGTCAGGAACAGTGTTTTCCTTTTTATTAGTTTTTATATTCCTCTGCGCCTGAGAATATCAGTAAAAACTAGGTGAAACAGACGATCCATCATGGACTGTCTCCTTTTTTTTAATCCCAACTATGTTTGCCAGCAAGCCTTCATACTAGGAACTCAGGAATCTTCTCTTTTGTACTACTCTCTTGCTGCTTCTTTTCGTTTTTCTTTCGGTTTCCTCTTTCAGGTAGAAATGGGAATGCAAATCGTGTAAGATTGTAGAAGAATTTTATGGGCTTCCACTTTATCTGAAATTCGATCTGGACTTTAGGTTTTTCTACCCTGCTTTTTCTATTGTGTATGATCTGAAGTTGGAGAGTAAACACTCTTCTCCACTGGTTCCTGCACCAGAGAGATGGGTTGTGCTGCATCGAGTATTGACAACGAAAGGGTGCAAAGATGCAAGGAGAGAAGAAGGTTGATGAAGCAATTAGTGGGGTTACGTGGGCAATTCGCTGCTGCCCAGATGGCTTATTTGCAATCTTTGAAGAATACAGGGATAACACTTCGACAATTCACCGAATCCGAGTTTCTGGAGCTCGAAAATCCTCCCTTTCCAGTGGCATTGCCTCCATCACCCCCTCTTCCCTTGCCTCCATCACCTCCACCTCCTCCCCCCTATAGTCCCGACGAAGGGAAGGCCAAAGATAAGCGGAGAGAGGAACTTGTCCAAGAAGAATGTATAGAATTTGACGAAGATAGCAGCTGTATAACCCCGCCGCCGCCGCCTCCGGTTCTGAGATCGTCTTGGGATTTATGGGACCCATTTGATCCTTCTTCTTCTTCTCCTCCACTCCGGCAGAAAAAGAAAGAACAGGTCCAGCAGGCTGAGGAGGAAGTGTGGGCAGAGACTAATACAGAATTTGAAGAAGAATTGGGAGAGGAAGTTGTTGCTAATGCCGTTTTGAACTCACTCCCAGAGAAGACCATGTCGGTTGAACTGGCAGACGATAATTCTTCGACGATGAGCGGGTATACTAAAGACACGGCAGATATGCACATGATGATATCAAGGAACAAGAAGACATTGGCTAGAATTGTCAAGGAGCTGGATGATTATTTTCTCAAAGCTTCGGCTTCTGGAAAGGAAATAGCCGTTCTTCTGGATACCAACAAAGGCGATCTTCTTCGCCATAACTTCGGAGAAAATAACAGTAAAGATCATCTCTTTGTCCTTGTAAAACTAGCTTTATCTTGGTTATTTTCCTTTTCTTTTCCTTATTATTTTGGTTGTGCTTCATTCTTGAATCAGCTTCACTAGGAAAGACATGGAAATAAAAAGCTTTAGCATCACTTTCAATTTTATCACTATGAATTCTTTATATTTATTGTGTGTTTATTTTCCTCCTCTGTATACTTGTTTTTTTACATGGAAAACAGTGCATATAACATCTTCTGTACTGTGTACATCCTGTCTTTGAAATGAAGGTAGATCTAGGTAATCTTCAGAGATCTCTGCCATTGGTTTGAATTGAAAATTGGTGGCGTCAACATTTAGGTTGCTCTATCCCTTTGATCAGGATGACTTCTCTGCATTTGTTGTTGGGCACCAGTATGATATCATGGGACCAATATTAGAGTTTGTTGTAGTATTTGCAGGTTCCAGTCTGACTAAGTGCTCCAATACAGGGGCTAAGTTTGTTTTCAAATAACACTCTTTCAATTGTATATGGTAGTGCATTGGTATATAGTAGTTGTTCTTTTGGTGGTTTGCTTGATAGGGATTTAGGATTCTACTTGTTGGACCTTGTAGGCTGTATGGGGCATAGAGTTTCCTTTTGTTAATTCAAATTTCCTCTTTATGCATGTTATTGTTTTCATCATTTGAGATCCTGTGAGTTATTCAAATGCTAGTATTGCAAACAGATCGGATAGAATTTGGATGGGGGTATATGATTCTGATCTGGTAAGAATCCAAGAGATCTGAATTCAATCTGATATCTGACAGACATGTAAAATATAGATTTGAATTCAATTGGTTTGCACATCTTGATAACCCGATCGATTAATATATCAATAAGTGATAAATCTCTATAAAATTAACATAAATTTATAAATTTAAATATAAAACAAATAGATATATACATCAGCACAATCATCACCCTATGCTGTTTTGCCATTCTATTCTGTTTAATGCCATATCCATTGTTAAATGTATACAATTAATGGAAAAATAACTTCATTTAAATCTCAAATCCAATTAATTCTAATGAATTTTAGTATTAAAATTCATTATATACATACATACATATATAATGGAACTGGATTGGATCCTAGGAGATTGTATCAAGAAATATCCAAAATTTATCCAATTAATAAATGTGTATTTTCAGATCTGATTATGGTTAAATGGAGATCTGAATCTGACTTAAATGAGTTGGATTCAAATATGAATCCGACTAAACCTGATCCATTTTCTGCCCTACAAATGCTGAGTCCGTTCATGCATATGCACACAATTTTCTGGTAGTCTTCCTTATGGTCTACGTAATTTGTACTGTAGGTTTACTCTATTTTAATTCCCAGCTATGTGTGCAATTTTTTTAGTGTAATACCTCTTGTATAAAGTTTTCAAACATATCCTAATACTGTTCCTTAAACAGGGAAGAGTTTCAAATCTGCAAAGGTCTTCAGTGCTTTGTCTTGGAGTTGGTCTTCTAAATCACTTCATTCCAGTAGGGAATCTATTGAAAATCCTGGTTCCAGTGAACCTTGCAACCCTGGTGGCCTTTGCATCACACTGGACAAATTATATGAAAAAGAGCATAGGCTTTATGAAGAAGTCAAGGTAATTACTGTTTTTTGTCTTGGAAGAAGGTAAAATGGTGCATGACAGCTAAAAAGTGCTACTAAAATTCAGTACGTTTTATTTCAATTTTAAATGTATTTTAATATCTCTAAAGTCACATAATATCCCCATAATTTAACAATGGATATGACACTGAACAGAATGGAACTGCAAAACAATGTTCATGTAGTTGACCCTACATAGTTGGGATAAGGCTTAGTTGAATTGGAATTGAAGTATAATCACATGGAATCCTGCTTATTGTTAATGGTTAATTGTCGAGAGTTCTAAATAAGAAAATGTTGACCAAGCCCCTACTCTAGGGGGGAACATCTTCTGGGCAGTGTTGTGACTCGGTGATTGTATCTCAAACCCCTACTCCAAGGGTGACAGTTGTATTTTAAGTTCTGTTTAATTTAGTTACTGTTTCCGATAAAAAAATGTTATGACCAAACCCTGAAGTCTATCCTCTGGTATGGCTTTTGTTGGATTGTGTTTGTCCATGCAGGATTAATAGGTTTAGGTGTGGCTATTTAGATCCTGGGTAAGGCTTTTGGTAGAATGTTGTCTTTGCAAAACAAGCTTGGTCCATGTTTATGCGGCAGTATTGCCTAACACTATATTGAGTTCTACTGGACGTCAGAAAAATAAATGTTTCAGATACTTGTGGATTCTTATTGCTTTGACATTAGCCATGGTAAGGTCTGATGGCTCCTTACTTAACAAGGAAAAAAGGATTTATAGTTCCTTTCCATGTTTATTGTACTTGCATGTGAAAATTTTTTTTGGGGTAAATACTTGCATGTGTTCACTTCAAAATTTATCTGGACTACTAATGAATTTTCATTCATTTCTAATCCATCTATTCTTCCATTCTTGAAATTTGAGTTACACATTTTTTAATTGATATATGTATTTACTTTCTGGGAATATTTTACTACAGGAGGATGAGATGTCTAAATTGGAGTATGAGAGGAAAATCTTGCTACTGTCAAAACAAGAATCTGAGAATCAAGATTCTATGAAGATTGAGAGGACCCGATCAAGTATTGAAAGTTTGCAGTCCAGCATCTTGTGTTTGTCACAATCAATAAGTAGGACTTGCTCATCTATATTGCAACTCAGAGATGAAGAGTTGCATCTTCAGCTGGTTGACTTATCTGCAGGGTAAAGTAATAGACATCATCTTTTCAATCTGAGACATCTTTATTGAGGGAGGGGAGAGATGGTAGTACTGACAATTTACTACATGATGTTAATGTAACTGAAACTGAAGAGTTTAAGGATGACAAAATGAACAAAAGGTGACAATACAAGATAAAGGGAAAACCTATAACAGCATGATCCTTTCCCAAACCTGTTAGAGACTTCTTTCATATAATTCACTCCTCATTTCACCCTCCCTAATAACCTGTTATCCGTTGAGTTAGCCGACTTCTGGCCCCTAGAAGCCAAGGCCTGGTCTCTTTAATATGATGTTGCAGAATCTAGGTGGTGTTTGGTAAGTCTTTCTAGGCAGATCTTTCAACAGCCCAGTAGACAAGAAGGCACACTGAGCTTTTGACGTCTTGTCTTTAAAGACCAAGACTGGTAAGTGTCATGGTCTACTGGGCTGTTAAAAACATCTGGGAAGGCTATTTTCAGCATGGAAAGATCAAAAGCTTCATTTGAAGCTTCCTGATTTTTGGCCTTTTTGGTCTTTCCATGTGCTTATTTTTGGGTCTTCCGGTCTACACAATACCAAATGGGAAAAGACCATTTTTTGGTCTTTTGAGCATCCCATAGACAGAAAAGATGCACCAAATGAATTCATTGGCTGAAAATGAATCAAGGTCTCAACTTTAATGGTGTCACCATCTTCAATTGGACCCGCAAAAGCCACCAGAGTCTTATCTTCTGGTTCTGTAAGCACGTTTTCCACCTAATTGTCCTGGATTCCCAAGAGAAAACCTGTTAAAATTTATTGTAATTGTTATCTGATGGAGTCCCACTGATGCACCACGTTTTCTTGAATACAGGTGATCTTGCAATGTTTTGGTGCCCTCCCATAACCAAGTTGGCTGATATGTCTCAAAAATCCTCCCTCATAAAAAATCCACTGCACTATTCTTAAATCAAGAGTTTGAGATGAAGTGTCCTTATTTTGGCATTTAGTGGGATTTATTAAATTTACAATATTTCACTATCCTTTCCTCTGATTAATATATAATTTATTCTCACTAATAAAATTTTATGATGGTCCTCACCTTGAACAAATTTAGGGGTCAAGTTATATAAGAAGGATATATAATTTAATACGTAAAACTGTAAGTTTATTCAGTTGGATAATTTTTTGATTAGTAATATTATTGGCCATTTCTTACATTTGCACACAAAAATTCATATACACGAGCAGCTTGCTTGTGAATGAACAGCTAGGATTCCCTGTATCTTTCATGATTTAGTTTCATATCGCACACCTTGGTGGTTGCTTATTCCACAAGTATAAGCATTCTTAGGCTCAGGCTCTTAGCCATTGATTTTTTGGTTACTCTGGTGAGAGTCATAGTAACACATTAGTGGTTACTAAGTTAATCCACAAAGGAGGAATGCAAGCCTCCAAATTAGGGTTGTTACAAATTAGCCTTGCCTTTCCTCTTCTTACCTATTGTTTACTTTGGTTATTTTCCTTTTCCAGGCTTATGCACATGTGGAGAACAATGTGCGAATGTCATCAAGTTCAGAACCATATTGCTCAGCAGGTGAACCATCTTACAGATCATTCAAGCATGGAGCCCACCACCGAATACCATCGCCAAGCCACAGCCCAGCTTGAAACAGAGGTTATTGCCTGGTATAACAACTTCTGCAACCTCCTTAAATCCCAGCAAGATTATATAAGAGCACTTCATGGTTGGGCCCAGCTCACCAACGATCTTGTTGATGACCAACAGCAGAATGACCACTCATTTGGTATTCAAACCCTCTGTGAAGAATGGCAGCTTGCCCTTGACAGGTTGCCTGATAAGGTATCTCTCTCTCTGATAATTATGCTTTATTTGTGAAAAATTAGGAAGGGAAAAATCTAGATAGAAAGTTAATACAGAGTGAAAATGGCCATACATCCCCACTGTAAATTAAAGGATTATGGTCATAATTTTTCAGATGGTTCCCAAACATGGAGAGCTTCTATGCCAAAATTTATGTTAGATGACTGTGATCATCCAATCCATTGTCTATCTGGGTGGATAACTGATAGCCCAGATAATTAATGTCCATAGATTGAATGGTTATGATGATAATATTGTTTTTTTCCCATTGAAATGATTTACACCATGAACATGATGGGAATGTTCAGAACTGTCCCTGTTCTTAAAGGAATGGGATCCATTGTCAGCAATGCTGGATATTCTGGAAAGCTAATCATAGTTTTCACTATAATTCGAATCAAACAGTCCATTCTGCTAATCTTTCCATAATTATAAATGGTATTGGATGCTAACAGGTAGCCTCTGAGGCCATTAAGAGCCTTGTGTCAGTCATCCACTCCATAGTCTTGCAGCAGGGTGAAGAAAGCAACTTGCAGAAAAAGTCTGACAGGCTTGAAAGAAGGTTCCAGAAGGTATTGAACTCAATGAATGAAATGGAGAAGAAGCTTGAGAGAAATCCAACTGGTGATTCAATTTCTAGCTTGAGTCCTAAGCATCCTTTATCAGTCAAGCGTGCCAAAGCTGAGGCATTCAAGAAAAAGGTAGAAGAAGAAAAGTCTAAACACCTTGATGCAGTTCAGGCCAGTCGGGTCATTACTCTGAATAACCTACAAACAAGCCTCCTGAATGTCTTCCAGGCATTAACGGAATTCTCAAGTGCGTGTGCTCAAGTATTTGAGGCTGTCCACTGCTGTGCCATATCAACAGCTTGTCATGATGGCGTATTGCAGTCACGAAGCTGATGAACTGGGTTTTGAGTATATTCTTAATGCTTCGTAAGAGCTTTCCAGATCCCAAAATAAGTGATCCAAGCTGGATGTACAGTTTAGGCTCCAGGGTTCTATAGGCACCGTTTGGAAATTCAATAGAATGTCTGGGTTATGGCGGAAGCTAATATAGCTTGGAGGTTGATGTGGAAACAAGCTACAATCAGTTGAGATGTTGGTCAATTGAAAACGCCAATGCGAATGACAGCAGAAGTGGTTATTTTGGAGGAGAGAAATGTAAAATTGATTAAAGTTTTCTTTTTTTGTTATTTTTTTTTGGTTTCACAACAATTGCAGTGGCTGAAATGTGGACCGCCCTTGAAGCCTATAAATTAGTGTTGCAATCTCAAAGTGAACCCATCATCATCACCATCATCGAAGGGGATTCCGTGCTCGTGATCAACATCCTCCAAAGTCCCAAGGTGTCTCGAAGATCCCATGGAAGTGTCTTGGGATTGCCGAGGAGTGTCAGCTTCTAGCCCAGAGGACCTCAGCTAAGATGTCCTATTCCCACACCCACATACAAGTTTGCAGCAGACTGGTTGGCCTGCAAAGGAGAGGTTCGTCCTATTTCTCAGGCTCTCAGTTAGGAGTTCTCCCTCCTCTGGGAGTTCAGTTTTATTGCTTTTCTTGATGCAGGGGGCCGTGCCCTTCCCCCGCTGGTTTTAGTTTTTGTTGTGTTCGTCTTGTAATTCCCTGTATTATCAAAAAAAATCAATTAAAGTTTGGTAATTGGCAGAATTGAATTTGAAGCAATGTTTTCAATCATCATTGACCTGACTGGTTGAACCGTTTCATCTGTCACTTAGGGGCCAAAATGGTCTGGTTATATATATATATATATATAACCATTGATTTGTTCAAAATTCATTCAATCCGGCTGATCAAGTATATGTTTGGTTTCATGACAGTTTCTTGAGGGGGCATTTAGCAGATAAATATTTATCATTTATCTGATAAACGTTGTTTTAAATGTTTTTCGCTTTTATTGTTTGGTTGGAACACCCCATAAAGGACTTTCCACATCAACATTAATAAACGTTTCTTTAACTTTGGCTGTTCGGTGGGGCATTTCAAGAAACAATCACATGAATGATACAGAGTGTGGCATATTTTCTTGATACTTGAGTGTCATTAAATCGATCTAATGGTCCAAATTACTTATGCTTGTCTATAATAGCTGAATTTGAGATCCAAAATCTAACAGTAATTACTCTTTTTGTTTTCCTTTCTATTTCGAATTTCAATTCAATATAAGAATTTTTTCATGTCAATGGCCTGTAAGCTAGCTCTTCACAGCATTGGATTTTCATCTGCTGGGAGCCTGGGATTTCAAGGCATTGGATTTCTGTTCATCGGCTTCCCTCGTTGTTGAGTTAATCGTGAGTTGCGACCGGGGTGGCTTCAACCTTCAACTCGTACATTCATGCGCTTGTGAACGATGATCTTGAGTTCCAGTCCAGGTTCGAGCTGCTTCCTCTGGGTGGACGTGTGCTTACGTTTACTCCACTCGTCTGTGTCCAAGTGAGCGGACTGCATGGTCGAGGCTGGGTTGGTTGACGAGGTGCGGAGGTTCTTTGAACCAGAAGCCGATTATTCTCAGAGAATCAGACAGGCCATTTGGGTGCCAGAGATGGACGGGTTCCTCCGAGCGGAAGCTGAAGCACCGGCAGACGAAGAAACCCTGGCAAGACTCATCAAGGAGGTGATCGAGGAGATCAAGGTGAACATTTGCACACGTTAGCTCGTTGCCAGTTGTAGAAAATCTATTGACTGAAGGAGCTTCTGTGAAGGAAATGCACTGCCTCAACGCCATTCGAAGTATTGAAGCACGACAAGGAAGCCTGGGAGAAGCTGGTGGCAGGACCAGGCACCAACATGTCAGGCATTTTTTCTACAAAGCCGAAAACCATGGTCCCACTGCCTCTGCCGCTGCGACAACCATCAAAGCGGCGGTCATGGGGAAGGTAGTAGCAGCTGCGACTCGATGAACGACGACGCATCGGATCAGAGTTATGGCCAGCCACATTGGCGGCCACATCATCGCCAAGCATGGTTTTTAAAACCGACCTGGTGACCGAACCGGCCAAGGGTCCGGTTACTGGGTTGAACGGTTCGACTGTTCAAACCGAATGCTCAGCCCGTTTTGACAGAAAAATAAAAAAATAAACATAGTTAAAACGGTTCGAATGGTTAACCACCCAGTTCAGCGGTTCACTGACCAAAATTAAAGGTTTTGGGGGAAAATCCGATTTTTGAAAAAAACGAAATCAAATGATCGGTTTCCGGTTTTTTTGGTCCGAACGTCCGGTCCGGCCCGATTTTGCAAACTATGTCGCCAAGTCATATCCATGTTTTGGGAAACGGTGAGAAGTTGGGAGAAGCAAGAATTTGACACTTTCCTCAATGGCTTTTTTCAAAAATTTCTCATTTTTTTGGGATAAACGTTGAAATCAAATAGTTTAATCTCCAATAAATACAAACGCCCATGTAGCACTGATTAATGTGGCCGTGTTTATTGATTTTTTTTTTTTTTTTTGAGAATAAACTGCAATGCATTAATCAATCAGAAATGTCACAAATAAGCAAGTCTTCCACAAATGCTGGAGGCTTATATCAGATACAAGGATTAACGAAACGACAAGAAACCCTAGCTAAGCTATGGGCCACTGTGTTAGCTTACCTTTTGACACAAGCCACCGAGAAGTTTATCTGCTGATGCATCTATTTCTTGAGTTATTGATATTAAATCTACTTCAAAAAAGAAACTAATCAAACTTAAAAAACTATTTAAATACTAGATGTTGTTATTTCTCAACACTTTTACAATTTAGTGGTTTTTTAATTTTTAAACATATAAAATTAGATGTGGGGTTATTTAAGTTCATTCACAATCAATCCAGTTAATAAGCTGAATGTAACGTGGAAGCTTTTTAACAGCACGGTTCTCGTCTAGTATTAGAAATAAAAGGCCTATTATTTGAAGGGTAATTTGCTGACACTTCCCTTAATTTTTTGTTCTTTTTTATTTTGGTATTTGATGACACATACCACTATAATTCTTCCTTTTCAAAATCGATGGTTGCAGGAATCAAATCCACGTCTATGCTAAAAGATCCATATTGGTTGGGTGTTTTTTAAAATCTTTTGACGTGGCAGGGTTGGGGTTTCATATAAAAACACTTGCACTGCCGATTGTCAATGCTTTAACAAATTATGTCCCAACCTGCATGCAAATTTAATTTTAGAGCCGGTTCTGACTAGGGGTGTTCAAATTTTGTTATCAAACCAAAAACGGAACCAAATTAAATAAGTTAATTCAGCTTTCAGTTTGATTCGGTTCGAGAAAAAAATTTAACCAAATTAACCAAAAATGATGCGTATATTTATATTTTAATTATTAATATTAGTGCTAAGATATATTAATATTACTATTTATATTAATAATAAAATATAATATGTATTTTAATTGTAAATGTTGATATATTTTAATAAAAATTATTAATATAAATATAACATACATTAATATTTTAACTAACTGATTTAAAACCAAATCAAACCAATTTGAATTTGGTTCAATTTTCAAATCTAATTTGATTTAGTTCGATTTATGAAAATGACCTAACTGAAATGTCAGTTAAATTATATTTTCAAACCGAAGTGACCAAATGAACACCCCTAGCTCTGATTATAATTTTTCCCTTTTCTTTTTTACTTGTTAGGGGAATCTTCATAATATTCGATAATGTTTTTTTTTTTTTGCTGGCAATGAATCCCGCCTCTACCACATGGGCTCAGAGAATTAGAACATCAAACAGCAATTTAATATTGAACCATGCAGCTTAATATGCAAAATTTAAGTCTCAAAAATTAATAGAAGATTTAGGGGGCATTCTTTTTTGGGATTTTGAGAGGGAGGAAAGTTGGTCAATGGGATTTTGATTCCCATTGATCAAGAAACCCATGTTCTACTTTTTAGATTTATGTGGGGATCAGGGAAAATTTATTTTACTGGGTATAAGTGATACCCATCTCCTAGGTGGGTAAATAATTTTCTCACATAGGGAAAGTTGCCAAACAAAAAATACCCCTTTTAATAATTGAATTTTATGGATAAAATGGTCGTTGCCTTATTTAAATGGAAAATAAAAGAACATGGGTAAATGCACTTACCAAAAAACGAAAAGCGGAGCCTTAGAAAAAAGTTTATAAATGATAAAAACAAAGTTAGGATATTGCGTGTGCCTCGTATCAACCTCACAGAATGTTCCAGCCGAGCATTGAGAACAGGAGATATTCCCGATGTGCGGTTGAAATGATGTGAAGAGTTGGTTTTAGGCCCGCTCTTTATGAGTAGCAAATCCGGATTCAGGTAAACCAACTAAGAATCTTATCCAACTTCCAAGGCCAAATGAAAATACGCCACGTCAGAAGCAAGTATCTAAATGTATCCAGCCATGGCGTTCTGAAGCCACAGCTCACAACATGTGGCTGTGGTGCAACTTCCACCGTCTCCAGCGGTTTAAAGTCTTCTGATACGTACATTGAAAGTAGAACGATCTATCGATCAGCACTGTGAGAGAATTGAAACAAAAATCTATACAACTTACAGAAGGCTTTGAGGGAGAGACTCCTCTCTGATTCTTCCAATATTCACCGGATAATGGCAACTAAACTCGCCACCCCAACTGCTGTGACGACTTTTCTCCCTCAATTCAGTGGCCTCAGACCCAGATCATCATCTGCCCGTGCAGACGGCTTGGTGAGTGTTCTTCTGCAGTTGAATTTCGTAGCTTAGTTTGATTGTAAATCCATTGGGTTTTATTTTTATTGCAGAACTCCCTGATCCCGTTGCTTTCATAGGTTAGATTTATTAGGTAATAAACGGTGTATGATTTAGTTTTGGATCTAAATTCTAAACCTTAAAACCTACCCGCTGACTTACATTCGATCTGATTGTGTAGGTGTCATTTCAACCTGTGAGGAGCAAGGGAAAGGGTGCCTTGGGTGCTCGTTGTGACTTCATTGGCTCACCTACAAATTTGGTGAACATTTCATCGATGTTTTATCTAGTCCAGAGTAGAAAAATCACCCAATATATATATATCACTACATTATGACGACTGATAAGGATTTTGATATTTTCTGTCATTGAACAGATCATGGTGACTTCTACAAGTCTAATGCTGTTTGCTGGACGATTTGGGCTGGCTCCATCAGCAAACAGGAAGGCGACCGCAGGCTTGAAGCTTGAGATAAGGGACTCTGGCCTGCAGACTGGTGACCCAGCTGGTTTCACCCTTGCTGATACCTTGGCCTGTGGAGTTGTTGGTCACATTATTGGAGTTGGGGTTGTTCTTGGGCTTAAGAACATTGGTGCATTGTAAAATGCTTATTAGTGCCTTTCCAATACTCTCTACATCTCTCTCTTCTGCTATTCTTGTGTAATGTTTGCATGGTTTTCCCTTGAAGAGCTCTCTTGTTCCCTAAAGCCTCTTGGTTGTGAAATTTGGCAGGTTCAAAAGTTGGAATAATTCCTGGGTTTCATAGAACATGGCAAGTCCTCCCCTTGGATTCATTTAGGGGGATTGACCAAAAATCCCATGTTCTTTCTTCAAATTTTTGTGGGGGTTAGGGAAAGTTTATTTTCCTTGGGGAAAGTGATACCCATCTCCTAGGTGGATAAATAATAAATTTTCCACATGGGGGAAAGTTTCCAACATTTGAATGGTACAAAGACGCCCCTTTTAATTGCATTTACCCATCAAAACGGTTAGAGTTGAATTACTTTCTGGTTTCAAAATTTGAACCAAAGTAGCCTAAGAAGGGTATTAACAATTGAAAGTAGCCTTCTCTCCTAAATCCTATTATTTCGTTTTTTTTGGTGAATTAAAAAACTGATATGTATTCTATGGTACACAAAGATACATTGCCATACTTTAAACCTTGTTCCTGCATCCTGCCTAAGTTCAATCAATAACATATGCTATCATTCAAAACCCTAGGTTTGGCATTTGTGAAAATTTTGAAGAGACTGGTCCAAGGGAGCTCACATCCTATATTTGCGACTATCGTTGTAACCTTCACCAAAACACGCACAAAGATCCTCTTTCTTCAAGTTCAAAACACTCTAGGATTATCTTTAAGGTTTTGATGGTTGTGGGTCTCCATTTTATTAGGTATAGTAGGCCCTATTTGTTTTTCTTTAGGCCATATTTACCCAAGTAAATATATTTACTTTTGTTGTTTTATTTCTCATTGGTGTCCTTTGGGCCTTCTACCATTTCTCATGGGTGGAACTTGTTTGCTCTCTCAACTCATGTGAGTTGAGTAGCACATCTATCATATAAAATCAATCAACCCAAGTATATTACTCTTTCTCAATTCCACTTAAAGTTTTCATTTGCTGAGAAGCATTAGCATCTAAGGCTCGGTTTGGAAGGAGTACAAATATAAAAATGTACAATACAAATACATACAAAATAATACAAAAAACATAGTTTTGCACTCTACATATTTGCATTTGTACTCCTTCCAAACTGAGCCAAGAGTTCGTTTTAAATATTAGTCAAGGAGCGGATGAGTGAAGACCAATGCAAAGCATTCTAATCTAGGAACCTTAGAACAATATTAGAAACAAAAATTCTTATCTTACAAATAACCTCAAAAGCAATTTACTCTATTAATCCCTTGCATAGATAAATGATCAATAATGCGGTTTGTTGGTCTAGGAACCCATTGCATAACCACTAGCATGTCTTTTGAATATTTTAAACTCAGTTTTGAAATACCGTGGCACCCTATCCTCTTGATTCAACCAGCTTATGATCACTTTTGAATCTCCTTCGATCACCTATTTTTTTATCCCTATCTCCCAAGCTTTTTGAATTCCAAACATTGCCTTTCAATTCTACAACCATGGAGTTCCCTCCCCCTAAAGCTCAGAAATACCAATTCTACAACCTTTGTCATTTCTTATCACCCCTCCCTTTCCAACAGCACCCTAATTATCAAAGTAGCTACCATCAAATTAAGTTTAAAGAAATCATTCCCTGGAGGCTTCTAAATTTTCACTTGTTTCTTCTTTGTTGAAGATGATGCTACAATGATTACCAAATTTCTTGTAATATCAATAACAATAAAATCACCAAACAACTTTGTTGTCTTTACCCAATGTGTCACCTTTACCAATACGCTTTCAATCAAGGACTCTTTGCTTCTTTTATCCCTTCAAAAACTTTTGTATATGTTTCTTTCTTCCCAAATGGTCAAAGCCATTGCTGCTCTTGTGCACTTCCACAATAATCTTCTCTTTCTTCTCGGCCAAAAGAAAGTAGTGGGGTTAAACTAGTTGGAAAGTTCTACATACAACCAAACAAAAAAAAAAAAAAACAATCCCGAAAACATCAAGTAAAAGAGCATAAAATGAGAAGGTGATGAACAGTTCTACCATTTGATTCACACAAAGCACACCAATTTGGGGATAGACACCTTCTAGGTCTTCTCATTTGCAATAAGTCATGAGTATTGATTGCACCATGGAAAACCTCCCAACAAAAAATACTCACCCTAGGAGGGATTGGGCAACACAACACTTCCTTAATTGAGAATTGCCCTTGAAGGAAAAAAGGAAGAGTCAACACTCGGAAGAATGATGCACAACTAAAAGTTCCAGAAGGATGACCAGTCCACAAACAACAATCCACTTTATTGCTATCAAAGAATACCCCATCAAACAAATGTAAGAATTGAGACACAAGACTCACCTTTGAATCTCTCACATTTCTACCAAAACCCAAGTTCCACCCAATACCAAAAAGGGATGGGGACTGAACCAAGAAATCAAATATAGGCCTACCCTTGAAGGATGAGAGAGCAAACAAATATGTAAAAGACTCCATTTAAGGAGTTCATCTAGCCAAAGATCCTCCCAAAATTTTATTTTATTTGGTATGAATCAAAAAAAGAGGAAGATTTTTGTGGATAGCCTTCCAAGGAGTAGTATTGGAAGCCCTAATAGATACTCTAGCATCCCAACCATTCTCTAAAAGCCCATGCATGTTGATTACTACCCTATGCCATAGCTTGTCTATCTCATCTGGAAATCTCCAAAGCCATTTCCCTAAAGTGCCCAATTGTTTTCCTTTTAGTCTCCCCAACAGCCTAGCTCCTTCTGCACATGACCTCCCACTTGATTAAGTGATCTTTCTTCTCTTCCCCTGGCTCACAAAGAAAACCGCTCATAACTTTTTCTATTTCTTTTCACAAGAACCTGAGGCATGCTAAAAACCGAGAAATAATAAATTGGGATTGATTGGCTAAAGCGGATTTAATAACCGGGTTCCAAAAGGAAGCTGCTTTAGGATTTGCACCCAGAGGGAGACCCAAACTAAACTTAAATTGAAAATCTTACCTGTGAAGAGAGGTTGGTATCTTTAAGGACATGGATAGGGTTGCAGAAAATGCTCCTGTAACATGCACAAGATAAATCAAAATACCATCTATTTAAATGTTGATCCTTTCCTATACTTAATCCTCGAAGGATCTCCACCAATAATCTTGCTCTACCATGTTACCAACCCAATAAGTCCTGAGAATGAGGCTGCCATTTGTGGCATAAGGCTATTTAAAAACATTCCCAATGCCTAGACTAGTCCCATGTATCATATCTTCATCCATCAAAGTGAACCTACATAGCCTTAAGGTGGAGGGGCACCCATCAAAGTTATACCCAACATTTTTTATGAGTTATTATACCTAACAATTTTAGTAAAAAACGATGTTTTATGAAAAGTATAATTTATATCATACTTTGAAGTTTAAGAGCACATACAACATAAACACAACTGTGAAGTTGGATTACAAATAAGGACTTGTAAAAATGAATATAAGTATGTATGTGTGTATATCTTAGCTACAAATGCTACAAATGTAAGGAATTATGGTTGTGTTTGGAAACGATGAAAATGGAGTGTAAATCCCCATTCAGGATAAATTTGCACTCTGTTTCACTTTTGCTTGTGTTTGGCAACATTACATTTATGCATTGACAATGACAGACCGATGCATATTTACATTGATAATAAAATGTAAAAGTACATCAATAAAAAAGAAGTAAATTTGCATTCAAGTGGGCTTTTGATGAAAAGAAAAGAAAACATATGTTTTATTGGAATTCGTGTTTGCATCCATTACAGCTAAAAGTCTGTTTGGTCAGAAGGTAAATTTGTGAGTGCAAAACTAACCCAACTTTGCATTTTATATGAACTGATTTACACTCTACATATTTTCATGCACACTTATTTGCTAGTTGCAATCTAGTCTGTTGCTTGGTTTGCCTCTCTGTGCACATGCATGTAGCTAACTCCACTCTCCATCTTGTCCTTCATTTTCAAGCACTCTATGATGATATTTCTAAGGATCCAAGGAGGGGAGGACAACCCTTTGAGACAATGAATGGCTTCAAATCCCCTTCAATGATGATCGAGTTGTTGCAAAAGTTGACCACCAAGTTATGTGCTTCCCACGCAGCCCACACTTCAACTGAGTTGATCATGGAAGTGCCTAAGAAATAGCCTTTGAAGTTCAAAATCTCACCCAAGTGGTTCCTCGTGATGGTCGCCACAGAACACCTACCATTATTGTGAAAAGAAGCATAAAAATTAATTTTAATTTCTCAAAGATTCGGAGGGACCCAAAAGATGGCTTTCCAACTTCTTAAATCTTTGGTGGAACTTGGCTTCTTAATTAACTCCTCATATTCAGCAAAAGCCCTCAAAGCTCTATCCAAACCTATTTGTGGGGGGTTTTCTTTATTACTGAATGCCTTATGGTTTCTATTTTTCCAAATATGCCAAAGAACAAAGGCACACTTTTCTTTCAAACAACCTCTTTCACTTAAATATTTCTTACGAATTTCTATCCACCATTCGCCAATTTCAAAGTTATTCCCATTAGGACTCCCAATGTTCAAACAAAGGTTATTCAAAATTTGTTTCAAAGCACTACATTCAAGGAAAATATGATTGTTATTTTCCTCAATGCCACATTTGCAACAATCACCATCAATATCGAATCCTCTCTTTCTTAGAATATCCTTCATAGGTGGTCTAATATTTAAGAGCAAGAACATGAACACTTTAATTTTTGGAGGGATTTTAAGGTTCCACATAGTTGTAGCCCAACATACTATGTTTGATCTTGAGGAACCATCCTCCCATTTAATCTTATATGTCGATTTCATAGTGAACAAGCCCTATGGATTCAGACCCCAAATCAATTTATCTTCTCTAGAGCTCATAGGAATAAAAATGCTTTGATTTTATTCCAAATATTAGGAGGGACAACATTTCTAATTTGATACTCCTTCCACACTCCTCTATTTTTATCGATGAATTCACACACTAACTCATTTTCATTGTAACATTGCGAAGGGGTCAAGCAATCTACAAGAGAATTCTCTCCAACTCAGTTATCATTCCAAATTTTAAT